TACTGACTGAGCCACACCTACTCAGGGCTCTGTGTGTATATTATAGCTCAATAAAAAGGTTTTAGAAATAAATAAAAAACATATTTTCAAATGACAACAGAGGTTAAATTAATGTTTGCACTGTTTTTAGAACCATTTTTACTTTGGAACTGCAGGAGAAACAGCTGTGTGGAAGGTGGTGGTAGGGGGACAAAAATCTAATTTATTGCAATTCCATGCACATCAGGACTCCCTTGCAAGTTTGCCTGTGGCTCGTTACAGCGGAAATGCAGGGCAAAAATTAATGCCCAATACTGGCATAATGTCACACACTCAGAAGCAACCTGAGACTTGTGAATGGTGTTCCCTGTCCAAGTGGTCCGTCTCCCAGCTTCACAATAAAGGCTGCTGCCCTATCTGCAGAGCACTCGTGTTATCCTAGCTCTAAAACCTCCTTCCAATCAAGAAAAAATGTTATGACTAAAAAAGACATCTATTGTTTGGCTTTTATTTCCATTTTCCCCAAACAAAAAGCTACAATACTGGGCTGTTCAGTTTGATATCGATACCTGGCAACCCTTCTGCCACTATCTGGCACATGAGTCTTTCCTATCCCACTTCTTTCAGTCCCCATGGAGCCAAGAGCAAGTTGTCTGGGCTCTGACAAGCCCCATTTTTATCTTCAGCATACCTGAAGAAAGTGCGAGGGGAACAGATGAAGATACCAAGCACTGTGTAAAGCTATGGCAAGAAACATAAAAGGCAATTTAGAGATTCAAAAGCTACACCCATACAGCACAGTCTACAGTCTGCACTGGACAGCACGCAGGCAGGGACTTTCACTTACCCCCCCACCCCCATTAAATCCAAGTGGAGAAAATCAAACCAGCAAACAAGCAAACAAAATCTAGTATACATGCTGAGATTGCTTGCTTTACCTCTTTTTCTCATTAAAAAAAACAAACATACATACAAAAAACATGCCGATGACAATGAATTACCAGAATGACAGAAAATATTAGTGACATTTTAGCTCACCAAATTATAAAAGATATTGGTTTTGTGCGTTTGTTAGTCACTAAAACTAAATTACTATACAAAAATGGGAGGGGTGGAGGCTGTCATGTGGACACTGGTCACACATAGGCTTTGGGACTCAGTTTCTTATTTAAATTTTTTTTTTTTTAAATTGGTTTTAAAGGAAGGGAAGGAGGGAGAAAAAAAGGGAGGGAGTGAGGGAAACAGGGATGTGAGAGAGAAATAGTGATCAGTTGCCTCCCACAAGCACACTGATGGGGATCAAACCTGAAACCTGACGGGCCCTGATGGGGAATTGAACCCACCACCTTTTGATGCACTGAATGACACTCCAACCAGGGCATGGGACTCAGTTTCTAAATGGTAAACAAACAAAAAATCTATAGCCACCCTGGGGCTGATATATATTTAAAATGAATCAAACACTCTATCAAAAGTGTCAAGGCAAGTGCTTATTGAACGTCAATTTATTCAACACACATGCACACCTACTATGTGCCAGGGCCTGTTGTACTAGGTACAACAAAACAAAGCTCTTTTCCTTTGGGAGCTCACATTGGCACGGGAAGACAGACAAATATAATAAGTAAATAGGCCCTAATGCAGTAAGAGCTATGGGGGAAAGGCAGGTAGGTTGGGTTGCAAGATGGATATTGTTTTCTGCAATTTTAAAGAGTTGTTTGAGCAGGCCTCTCTGAGAAGGTGATATTAAAAAAAAAAAAAAAAAAGACTTCTGTGTCCCCTCTCCTCTCCTCTCTTTTTTAAAATGTCATTTCCCCCTTCACTGCTGCTTTAGCAAGATTAATCCCTGATGATGTCACACCCACCCCTCCTCATCTTCCAGACTTTAACTGTTCTAACTTCTAGGAAGGTTGTGGTTACTCTCAATTAAGGGTTGCTTTTTTTAAACTTTACTTCTTCCGCGTACCACTCAAGCATACACTCATCAGAAAACCATGCAAAGTCACTAGCAAACTACAAATTATGGGCATACTATAGGTTGAAGTGTGGGAAGGGGAGGGACCTTTGGTTTAATTCTTAATTAGCAACAGCAACATTACTTGACATCTTGGGGCTTATTATCATGCCATTTGTTTGTGAAGTGGTAAAACACACAACCTTCTGGGATTTAGCATGGATCTCCGGCAATCATTTGTCTAAGTGTATATTTAGAAAACTCCTGCAGTGTGTACATATTTAAAGATATCTGACACTGCATACTTTATAATCCCCGTTTTTCTCTAAAGAGTTTATTCCTCTATTTCAAAGTTGGAGAAATCTGAGTGTTAAAGAAAACACCTAAAACCCTTACAAGCAAGTCATAAAATCTCACTTGCAGGTGGCTTTTGTAATCGCACCTGCTTAGGTTATGGCTGGTTCTATTAGTAAAACACTGGAGATTGCTAGGTAACCTAGAAGGAAGTCTCCTTTTAAAAAGAACTAGCTAGACTCAACAACACCGCCAGTAGATTTTTTTACCATATTAGGCTTAAATGGTTTTCAGCGTTGGTAGTGGGGAGGCAGCACCAGGAACAAGAGCCCAAGAGCAGTAGGTGAAAGGATTTCAGGCTTTCAATGAGACCCTCGAATGCAAAATTTTACTGTGCATTTCCATCACGGCCGCAGGGTGAGCTCGCAGCATTCACTTCAAAGATTACATATAAGCCTTGTTGTCTAGAGCTGTGAATTCGTATTCTACCATCCCAACGTAAAAAACAAAACAAAACAAAAAACACAATCCTAGAACATGAACGAGGAGATGGTGATTAAAAGAAATCAACAGACATCTGTGAGCTTTTAGTGAGTGTGAAAACAACCTGGGAATGAAAAGCAAGGAGGCATGTACTGCTCTCTGGTCTTCAGTGTTATAATCTTTCAAAATATGAAAATGATCTACCCTGCCTTACGTCCGCAAATACGTATAATCAAAACTGTGAAACCCACAGGTCGCCCCTCCTGCTGCAGTTCCCGGGGTAAGGCCAACGCGGTTGGCTCGGCAGGCGCAGAAATTCACTGGAGGACCCAGCCCCTCTGACGGAGTCCTCGCTAAAAGTGAAAGTCAGGAGTCAGGGAGGAAAAAGCAGAGCGATGTTCCTTCCCGGGCACCTGAGTGCCTGTCTCCAGTTATCTCCACTCAGACTGGGAGACACTGTGCCTGGTTCTCCCAGGCAGGGGGGAGGGGAGAGGAGGTGCTCCCTTTTCAAAGCTTCTGCGGCCCGGAGGGAAAACCTAGACTCTGCCTCTAATTTGCAACGTCTGCGCTCCTCAATCGCATCCAGTTTTCCCTTCCCTGACACTCAGAGCAGCTACTACTCCCCCCAAGTCTAAGAGGAGGGCTGTTTCCTTTACACACTCGGAAAAGACCCCACCGTCTTCAGGAATCTTTAAATATTAACCCCCACACACATGTTAAACTTTAACATTCACATTTCTGGAATTTCGAAATGCCCTCTCTTAAGGAAACACATGAATAAGGAACAGGTTTTGGTCACAGTGACTTACGGAGCCCCAACCGCTGTGTCTGTCTACAAATTATGTAATTCACGTTGGTATCCAGATGAAGGAAATACAGTGTTTTTGAGCTTCCAAAGACGGATTAAGAGTTTGCCGGGACCGGTTTGGCTCAGTGGATAGAGCACCGGCCTGTGGACTGAAAGGCCCCGGGTTCGAATCCGGTCAAGTGCATGTACCTTGGTTGCGGGCACATCCCCAGGAGGGGGTGTGCAAGAGGCAGCTCATGGATGATTCTCTCTCATCGATGTTTCTAACTCTCTGTCCCTCTCAATTCCTCTGTGTGTAAAATCAATAAAATATATTTTTTTAAAAAAAAAGAGTATAGTGTCACGCTCTTTTAAAATTCTCATCCCACACAGTCCACCAACTCTTGTTGGGGAATTCACACAGACCTTGCCAATCTAGTAGCCAACTTTTAGGGTTAAAAAAACAAAACAAAACAGAAGTCTATAAAAACGACCATCCTGTGGGCCCTAAACATGAACTACAAATGGGATCTGGAAAACTAAAAGTCTCAGGGAGTCCCACGAGCCTCGGCGGCTTAAAACAAAAGTCGTTTTGTATCCTATTAAGAACAGATGATTAGACACGTATCTTATTTCCACTGGAATTCACCCAGAGGTGCTCCGATTTAGTGGGCCGCCCACGAATCCCCAGCCTGTGTGTTTCTGGAAAAATTCTCTCACCATCAAAGCCGGCGAAGAGCATGACCCTTCAAGCATGCCTTAAGGCGGTGGTCGGCAAACCTCGGCTCGCGAGCCAGATGCTTCAATCAGATTGAAGACTTTTTTTTAGCAAAGGCCAGCGTAGGAGGGCCCTGATTAAGTTAAGAACAAAGTTTAAGTTTGAGACACTTGGCTCTCCAAAGAAATTTCAATCGTTGAACTGCTGATACTTGGCTCTGCTGACAGATGAGTTTGCCGACCACTGTCCGCGGGGTCTGGGTGAGTTTGCCGACCGCTGCCTCAAGCTCCGGCCCTTTCATGGCACCCGGGCTGCTCGGGCCGCCAGGGGCCCCCGGAACAGCCGCGGCCGGAGCGGCGGAGCCGGAGGCGGCGGGAGCGGAGGGTCGGGGTGCGGGGCCGCCAGGGGGGCAGTCGGGCCGGCACCCCCGTTCCCTCCCCCTCCCCCCGGATCCTCCCCCCGCTCACCTGGCGCGGCCGCGGCACCTGGCGCCGCTCCGGGCCCCGCGCAGCCTCCCTCCGAGCGGCCGCCGGAGCGGGACCGGCCCGAAGCGGCGCAGACCTGCCGCCCCCCAGCGCCCCCAGACCCGCCGGGGTGCCAACCAGGAGCCCCGCGGGCGTTCCCGGAGCGCGGGGCGGGGAGGGGAGGCGATCCCCGCGGGGAGTCCCCTCCTCACCCCACGCCCGACCTCCGCCCCGCCCGGCCTCCCCGCCCCTCAGCCTCGAACCCCGCACCGCGCCGGCCCCGGCTCGCCGCCCCTCGGCCCCCTTCCCGGGCCCGCGTACCCGGTAGGTGCTCTCGGTGAGCCGGTTCACCTCCTCCGGCCCCTTCGACATGGCTGCAGCCGCCGGGCGGGCGGGCGCGGCCGGGCCTCGTGGCCGCCCGACCCCGGGCGGTGGGAGCGCGGGGGCGCGGCTGAGGGGCCCTCGAGAGGCGGCCGCCGCCACAGCCGTGGGCCCGCGGGAGCCCGCGCGCGTCTCCGGGCGCCCAAGTGTCAAAACTTGCCGCGCCGCCGCCTCCGCCGCGGGAAGACCGTGAGGAGCTGAGGAGACGCGGCCCGACGCCAGCTGGACGAGCGGGCCCGGCCGCGCGGCCCCACCTGAGGCGGCGGGGGCGGGGCCGGGGCGGGGCGGGGCGGGGCTGTCCTACCTGAGGCGGTGGGGTGGGCGGACCCAGCCTTGGGGGCGGGGCGCGGCGGCCTGGGTGGGCGGGGCAGCCAGAGGGAGCGTGGCCGGTGGGCGGGGCCTGGCGCCCGGGTTGGGCGGGCAGAGCTTTGTGGGCGGTGCGCAGGCCACCTGGTGGGCGTGGCCTAGCTGCCTAGATGGGCGGGGTGTCCACGGGGAGCGTGGCAGGTGGGCGTGGCCTGACGTCGGGGTTGGGCGGGCAGAGCTTTGTGGGCGGTGCACAGGGAACCTGGTGGGCGTGGTCTACTTGCGTGAATGGGCGGGGCGGCCAGAGGGAGCGTGGCCGGTGGGCGGGGCTTCGCGGCAGGGCTGGGCGGGGAGGAGGTGAGTTGGGCCAAGTAGGCGGGGCGTCCCCACCTGTGTTGCACCAGCGGGGACAGCCAGCCTGTCCCCTTAGCTTCCGGCGGGGAACTCCTGGTGACTCAGAGACCCCGCAGGGCGTCGGTGGCTCAGGTTTCTGTTCTGCTTGGGCAGGACATGTAGCGAATGTGGTCAGGCCTCCTAGAGCCCTCTCGTCTCTTGTCCGTCACGGAGCTGGTCTCATAGGCCCCAAAACCCACTGTCTCCGCACGCCCAGCCCTCCCTTTTGTGGACCGCGGGAAGAGGGGCCCACGTCCCCAATTACATTTGATTTCCCTGCTAGACTCCCTCCCTTGCACCCTGCTCGCTGACCTCAAAGATCTGAGGAATACTGCCTCCCCCTTGCCCCTTACCACCCACAGGCTCTAATAGATGAAGAAAGGAAGCCTGCCACTTGCACTTCGGGAAGCTCTACATGTATGAAAAATTAATAAATGCCAAGCTCTGGTGGCAGGAATGGCAGTACGTGTTTAAACTTTACATTAAAAATGGCCTTTTGCCGAAACCAGTTTGGCTCAGTGGTAGAGAGTCGGTCTGCAGACTGAAAGGTCTCGGGTTCGATTCTGGTCAGGGTTATGTTCGTTGGTTGCTGGCACATCCCCGGTAGGGGGTGTGCAAGAGGCAGCTGGTCGATGTTTCTCTCTCATCGACGTTTCTAGCTCTCTATCTCTCTCCCTTCCTCTCTGTAAAAAATCAATAAAAAATAAAAAAAAAGAATGGCCTTTAACTCAATGCATTTCACCATGCTATTCACAAGACCGTTACTAGATCTAGAACTCCATGCTGGGCTGAGGTGTGGAGGCAACCCTTCCTTCCAGCACTCAGAGTCTGAGCAGGCGCAGTAGCTCCTGCACGTCCTGTTCTGCCCCCACAACTGGCACCAGCACCAGCCTAGACCCTGAGGACCCAGAACAGGCTCCTCCCACCTGGGATCACTGCTCAGCAGCCGAGACATTCACCCAACAAGCTTAGCGGGAAGTTATATTTTGATTTTTAAAAACTTCTGACTGGCTGAACCATGGTGGCTTAGTGGTTGAGTGTTGACCTGTGAACCAGGGGGTCACGGTTTGATTCCTCGTTGGGGCATATTCCTGGGTTGCGGGCTCAATCCCCAGTGGAGGTTGTGCGGGAAGCAGCCGATTCTCTCTCGTTGATGTTTCTCTCTCTCTCTCCCTTTCCATTCCTTCTCTGAAATCAATAAAAATATAATTTAAAAAAAACAACCAATCAACTTCTGTTTGGGCACAATTGCATCTTTTATGGGCTGTTAGGAAATGAGGCTCCCGTGATAAAGTTCACTGGGAAATGCATATAAAGAAAGCACTTTGGGGCCCAAGTGGGGAAATCCAGGTGTATGAGATGCTGCTGGACTTAGAACAGAAACCAACGCTTGGACTCTAGGACAATGTTATCGGGTTGGCAAGCCATAAAATATGGCATGCCTGGCAAAAAAGGTTATGTGTTCTTACATGTTGGGGGGAATCACACATCAGTTGCAGCTGCCTCTCTTTTTAACAAGTTCCTAGCATTGGGCTCATAAGATTTGCCAGTTGGCTTTCCTTATATTAACATGTACTCGGGGCCTCAGCATCACCGCTATTACATAGCAGGCTTCTCCAGAATGTCTGCTGGTTTTTATTTAAACTTGAAAATCACTGCCTCGACTTTGAAGATCACCTCTTAGCACTTTCCTCTGTGCCCTCGGAGGAATGGGGTCACTTCACCTCAGCTGCAAGGCAGTCAACCAAGGAGCTGGAAAGAGAGCAGAGGCTTAACCTTTCACACCCTGCAGCTCAGCAGTGTGATTTAGAGCTGGAAGAGACAGGCTAACGACCCACCATAGAACCAGCAAGCAGCTCCGATGGCCCGATTAGATTGCCAAAGTTGGAATATGATCGAAGGACCAGATTCATAATCATATGCAAATCTTCAATCAGATTATTTGGCTATTGTAACTCTCCTGTTATAGAAATAATTTTCCAGGTAGGACCGTTCTGCTCCTTTGAGAAGTTTTAGAGAATGGTCACTTCTTTGGTTGGTACTGGCGTTAAGAGTAGTGCCATTTAACCCCAGCTCAGAGCTTGGCATATTGTTACTGGGAAACCCCCCATTGGGCCTGTTGCTGGGTCCAATAACGAAGGCAAGGTTGAATCATAGTAGGCATTTATTGAGAAGGCTGGCCAACCAAGGGCGCTTACAAGCATGAAATCCTGCCTCCCACCAAGACTCAGGGTATAGGGTTATAAAGGGGAAGGGCCGGGGTGAGGAATGCAGCTATGTGTAGGCCTGGGAGTCTCCAGACCTCAGCTATTGTAATTAGTCATCAGGAGATGAGATGAGGTTGATGGGATGATGTTTTGATTCCTGGTGGGTCCTGACCATGCTAACTGATTCTGCTTGCTGGATTCACAGCTGAGTCATCTCCTCAATCTCTTCACACAAGCCTTGAAAAGGAAACTTTTAGAAAAAGTTAACTCCCTGATCCTATATAATAAAGAGCTAATATGCTAATTAGACAGAACAGCAGAATGACTGCCTAGATCAGTGATTGGCAAATTGCGGCTCGCGAGCCACATGCGGCTCTTCGGCCCTTTGAGTGTGTAGCTCTTCCACAAAATACCATGGATTGGGTGAGTCTATTTTGAAGAAGTGGTGTTAGAAGAAGTTTAAGTTTAAAAAATTTGGCTCTCCAAAGAAATTTCAATCTTTGTCCTGTTGATATTTGGCTCTGTGGACTGATGAGTTTGCCGACCACTGGCCTAGACAACCTTTCGGATGAAGCAGGGGCTTGGAGGACCGAGCTCCTTGCATGAATTTCATGCATCGGGCCTCTAGTTCTCACATAAGAAACTTAACCCCCTATTCACATAGGAATATGTGTTCTAAGATTTAAAATAATATGATTGCTTTTCAGATTAATTCAGGTGCTCTATCTATTAGATTATAAGTCCCCCCTATCAGTATGAGTGCCTGGCAGGTGTTTGTTGAACAAAAGAACAAGTGAGTATTGATTATCTATCTGCTCTGCCAGGGGCTCTGCTGGGGCTGCAGAGTATAGAGTGACCTGAGCTCGACCCAGGCCTTTCACATGGTGCAGGCGGTAGAATCTGAGGAGCAGGATCATGAAAGCTGTAACAGAGGTGCAATCCTAAGTGCTGCAGGTGTCAAAGGGTGGGGTGACAAACGGTCTCAAAAGGCCGTTTACAGTAGGTGCATCGAGTATGTCTGTGAGTTGCACATGAACTTGAAAATCCACAGTCTTGGTTGCCCCCAGACTCCATGATGCCCCAAGTGAAGGGAAGTGAACCAATGGGAAGGAATGAATGACTCAAGAGAAGCCGAGCAGCCGCCACTGGCTTTAATGGTTCTCCTCTAGAGTCTAGATCGATGTGGTGACATCACAGTTCCCTTTTAGGCCAGGCCGGACGAGGGGAGAAAACAAAGACACAGACAGGCCAACAAAAAACAGTTCTCTGCGCGTTGAGAAAGCCATGTAGCCACTCTCCAGCTGCCCAGAGCAGAAGAGGTGGCCTGGCCTCCCTGGAGTCAGTACCATGGCCCACAAGGGGCAGGCCATCAAGGCTGCTTTCCTCTCTTCGCTCCGGTCTGAGTTTAAATAATTGAAGATCCACTTTATGTTAACAAAAGTTGTAAGAGGCCATTGCCTGTGATGACGTCGATGACATTTTGAAAGCCAAGCCCCCAACAGGCTCTGCCTTGGAGATGGATGTCTTTTTCTGAACTAACTGTGGGGCCTGGCAGGGGCTGGCTGCCTGGATGGGTGCTCTAAAGTATCCATGTGAAAGCTATTGTTTTATGACAAACGAGGTCCCTGCTGATGACAGCAGTTTTAGGCCAATTCCCGTATAAAATACCAAGAGGAAGGGTGTGAACGAGGTGTGGTTTCTACACATAGCTAAATGATCAGTCCATAGTATGTGTTTTTATTCTGACATAGCAAATGTGCATTGAATACTCATTTACTTTCCTGTAACTTTCTCCCAATCCAGGAAGCATTAACTTTTCAAGCATGCTCAGTTCATTTTTGCTGCATAGTTTTTCATTTAACGGTTAGCCTTTGTCTAGAACGTTCTCCCTTTGCGTTTTTCCGTAATTTGGATTTCAGCCTCATGCAGCCTCAGTGAGGCCTTCTGTAACCACCCTGATTCAATAAAAATCCTCATCAGAAGTCTTCAGACCCATGAGTATAAATGTCCTTCCATTTATTTAGGTCTCCTTACATTTTTGAAGCCATGTTTTGTAGTTTTTTTGTTTTTTTTTTTAAGTATATA